ACCCAGGGATCCAGAGGAAGGCAGGATTCAGGAATGAGCCCCGGACGAGCTGCCACTGCCCCTGCTTCCCCATCCTGGGTTTCAGCACCAAATGTTAGGTCCCCAGCCAACAGACAGACACAGGAAGCCTCATGTGTAGCAAAATGCTGTTTATTTTGAGCATCTGGGTGCCGCTGGGTGCAAGGGAAAAAGTGTCCATGAGAGAAAAAGGGAGAGCCTCGGTTTTATAGAGGGATTTTGCAGGGAGTAAGTGAGCCAGAACAGCCATTTGTGATTCATTCTTTTGCAAACAACCAACTTCTGAGATGCCTGCCCCAGTCCCACCCATCCTTCGGCTCTGGGGTGGCTCCTATCAGGAGAGCTAGGCAGGGATGAACTTGGTCTCTATCAGGGAGGGAGGGGAGGGGGGAGGAACGCTGGCTGCAGCTGGCTGTGAGATTTACAAAGTCTGGGGACTCCCCAGGCTGTTGTTTTACAAGCCTAAGGTTTGCATTCACCACATTCTGTCCTGTGCATACTTTTTGGGTTCCCACCTGGAACAAACCTAACATTCCCTATCCTCAGTTCTTAAGGAGGCCATTTCTACACGGTTGCCAGTTTGATTCCTCCTATGAAAGCAGGACAGGTCCCCAGAAGGCACCCACAGTTTGCACCTATTCCCCCATGGAGCCTCCCCCACGGAGGCCCAAGGCTCTCAATCGCCCTGACGACTCAACTCCAGAGTTTCACCCCCTGAAACCTCCCCATGCCCTAAACCCAGGCAGGCTGGGAGTCCTCAGCAGCCCAGACCCCAGGGAGACCTCCTCCCCCATCCCGGGGTTCCCTTCACACCCAGACCCCTCCCCTCCTCCAGTACAGCCCAGAGACTCCCCCCAACCTGAGCGGGAAACCGCCACACAAACAGCCATGACACCACACCCCGGGTAAATAACTTTATTTTCGTGTTGCCTTTGTCAGGGGGGCAGAGTGGGTGAGCTGAAAGAAACCGCTGGCGATAGACCTTTCTGAGTCGTGGATGATACCACACATGCGTTATCAGCACAGCAACCAACACAAGAGTGTATATGCTTTCCTCCACTGGTTAACGTAACATACGGGGTTTACAATTCGTCGTTTATTCAAAATCCCTGAGGTTAATTTTTTAAAGATGATTTCCAATTCACATGTAATCGTTCCGTAGATTCCGGAGGTTTACGTTTCACCTAGTAATCATATTTCCAATCCTAGGTAATACTATTTTTCCATTTTACGCCGAAGTGCAGACACGGCAAAGGATTCGTAAGGAATAATTAAACCACACTTACTTGAGGTCGGCGACGACGCATCACCTTCTCAAAGAAATACATGATTTGGTTTTGAACACATTTAAGGTAAAGCCAGTCTAAAAAGGAAGCTGCTTTGTTTCGTACAAACATCACCAGCAACTCACGGAGGAGAAACTTAGCCGCCACCTTTAAAATCATTTCCTTTTGCATTGGCCGAGCTGTTACCCCAGTGCACTGATCCGTTAGGAAGGTTCTCATCTCAGGCACTTTTTCGAGTAAAATTTCAACAATCATTTTCTTTATAAGTACAAACTGGGTCTGGGCTGCTGAGGACTCCCAGCCTGCCTGGGTTTAGGGCATGGGGAGGTTTCAGGGGTGAAACTCTGGAGTTGAGTCGTCAGGGCGATGAGAGCCTTGGCTCTGTGGGGAGGCTCATGGGGGAATAGGTGCAAACTGTGGTGCCTTCTGGGACCTGTCCTGCTTTCATAGGAGGAATCAAACTGGCAACCGTGTAGAAATGGCCTCCTTAAGAACTGAGGATAGGAATGTTAGTTTGTTCCAGGTGGGAACCAAAAAGTATGCACAGGACAGAATGTGGTGAATGCAACCTTAGGCTTGTAAACAACAGCCTGGGGAGTCCCCAGACTTTGTAAATCTCACAGCCAGGCGCAGCCAGCGTTCCTTCCCCCCTCCACCTCCGGGGCTTCTT